CTAGTAACAGTTTCACTTCAGTGATGCTGCTTGAATATCCATAACATTTATTCATTTTGGATGAACTGTTTACCTACTCTTCTATTACTTCTAAAACTGTGAGGTGGAATGAATTATCCCCTTTTGTGGGCTATGCTGAGTTACGCTATAATTTTAGTTATGACTGTAGGCTCTTGGCAGAAAAAGGCAGAAGTAGCAAATAAATACTTGTGTATCTAAATAATTCGTTTCTGGCCTTCATAAAAATGATGAACATGTGAGTTGCAGTAAGGCAGCTGAATGGAATGAGAATAGGACAATGGAACTTGCAGTCAGTTCACCATTGTCTAGGATGATAGTGGCAGCTGGGCTATCTCAGGCAATGGAAAATGTGGTTAATAACATGGGAAACAGACAGGCACTCAAGCATTCTGAGGTGGTTATTCCTGCATATTCCTGTTATTGGGCCCAGATGATTGATCTGGTTCTAACTATGAAATGAAGAGGGAACAGAGATCTGACTGGGTTTGGTGCAGAGACACCAGAAGCTGAATTAGCAGTGCATGGACCCCGCCTTACCACTCTCCCAAGACCTGTTAAAGCTGTGAAGCAGCACTGCTGCTTTGGCATGACTGGCACCAGAGCTAGCAGATCTTTCCAGGCCTTACCTTGGGTGTCACTGTTCTGTGCTTGCAGAACTGGGAGTGCTGAGGAGCAGGCTGGCAGACACCTCAATACCTTGCAGAACCTAACTCATCGCTGGAGCTGAGTGCTGTGCTGATGCTGTTACCTCTCTTAGACCCGAGCTGATTCTTGCAGAGCTACTGGAATGTCTCAGTGCTGCACCGCTCCTAGTGGGCCACAGCTAGCCAGCTCTGAGCTGGCTGGACAGGACTGCATGTAGAACTAGCCGGCACACCTTCATGCCCCAAAAGGGAAAAAATACTGAGATGGCACAAAGGTGATCCAGAAATTGGAAATTTAGGCTTTAGCCTAATTTTAGCTTTAGGCTTAGGCTATTGCACTGGCTTTGTAGTGTATTGATTCTGAGCAGACTAATTGTAGGATTCAAGAGGGATTTTTTCACCCTCTTCACGTATATGAGTTGGATGGTGCAGGGCTTCACAAACTGGCCATAGCTAGAGACAGGATATTGAGAGCAGTTCTGCTCCTGGTACTGAAAGTCACTGGCTGGTTCATCTTGTCCACAAAGTCAAGACTAAACAGATTGCCTAATTTGGACTCATTTTGATGTAGAGCGGTTTGGCTGAGAACTATGCAGCTACAACACTAACAAGGGTCTTAAACTTTTCTGTCCCATTCTTACAGCTTTTCAGTCTTTTACAGTACAAAGCTTAAATTTGTTGAAGTACTGTGGAACATTTTGTGCTTTATGAAAGGTGGGAGCAGGTATCCTGAAGTGGATGTCACAGTGAAATATGTGTGCTTGTGTGAAAAGGGTGGGTTTCAATGGTGATACAGTCACTTCAGCCATGAAATTCTTGTTTGCTTTTCTGCATTTTAAAGTTATAGCTGTTCTTCAGAAGGTTTCAAACAGCGTGGAGTAGTGCTAATTCCTGTTGGCTGTATTTCCAAGATGCCTAATGAGAAAATTCGAGAAGGCTGTAGCGGGTAGGTTGTCTCCTGGCACATCTTTCCTTCCACGTGTTTGGAACTTCTCTCAAAGAAAAGTGCACATACTGGATCAGTTTCAGTGAACTGAAATTGTTGATTTCCTTAGCTCCCTAGTAAAGACGATTCATTCTGAAACCATTGCTGGAATATAATTTCTTGAGTAACACAAATGCTGTATCTTATCCTGATGAATAGTAAAAAAAACCCAAGACCCAAATTCTCTTCAAACCAAAGTGTAGTATACAACCACACGAACAAAATGCTGCAATCAAATTCTAGCATTTCAGTTTTACTTTGGCAAAAAATAATACAGTAATAATCTGAGAGCATCAAGAATGTGTAGCTCTCCCTTTTTTTTGAAATATGTAGAATGAAATTGCTCAGGAAAGCATCTTCTGCCACAGTTGTTAATGCTTTTTCTTTTCGTACTTACTGAGGAACCTCTTGTTTGCTGCAGCTGTGTCATAGCTGAATAGCATTAATATTTTAATTGGATTTTTTTAAGGTTGTGCAGTGTTAAGGTTTCATTTACTCTCAAGGCAGCTTGGATCTTACGAGGCTATGTCTTTCCTTAAAGAACTTCCCTAGCTGCTTCACCTTAGGTTATCTAAAGACATTAGCACATCATTGAGTTACTTGAAAGTTTAACCGGCATTTTGCTGTTTAAATGCTTGGTAAGATTAAAGGCATTATCACATCAAAAGAGTGAGTTTTCCCTTCGTTTACATCTTCCACCTCCTACTCCCTCCCCTTCCTCCATGGTTGCCTAAATTGCTTCTCAATTTAATTCAGTGAAGTGACTTAAAGTCTCTGAACAAAAAATAAATTCGAAAAGTAAAGCCGATTTAAAAGATTTCAATTGGGAAAGGACCCTGTCGAATTTTCCCCACTGGAATTTCTCGGCAAAATATGTCTGGAATTGACTTCCCTTGGCCGTGTCAGCGTCAAACACCTCTAGAAAGAGTTTCGCCAAGAGCCCTTCGTGGACTTCTAAGACCCGCGTCCCCCATAGCTTTGAAACGCCGATTTCAGGCTAATCTAATTAGACTAATGACTTTCCCACCACCATGCAAGAAAGCTAGGACAATCACCTTGAGATTTTCCTGCCTCCCAGACTTGCACTTTCTTAATTGCGTCAGGCTGGGTCCGAACAGCAGGAAGCACAAACTTTGATTTCATTTACGGGAAGGGGTCTTTAGGTAGGCAGCTTGGAAGCCAACCGTGGCGTGCATTTGAGAAGACATTAAAAAGAAGACAGTTTTTGGAGGCGAAGGAGCAAAGCGTGCTTAAATACCGGTTATGTTTTGTTTTGTCTGTGTGTCGGCAGTGTGAGTCCTCGTTCAAGAGGGCACAGAGGCTGGTGTCGGTACGATCTCCTGGCGCCACGGGCGTGCCGGGAGCGCAGCTCCGCGCCGCTCAACCCAGTGCACCCCTGCGCCTTCATCATTTGTAGTAAAGACCGCATGCCTAGAGGCGGAGAAACGTAGTTTGGTCCCCTCGTGAAGAGAAACTGGCCGAAATCTGTCCAAATGTTGCGAAGTTGTGAACTCAGCCTTATTTTTAAGTGCTGACTGAGAGAAAGATAAGCAAACCTGAGCGCGTGCAAGCCAGGCTCTGTGATCCTCATCTCAAGTTTGATTAAGCTAGAACCTGGCAAACCTTCCTCCTAAGCAATTACTTATTTGGCTTCCTGCATTTTCTGAGCTGGCATGGCACAATTACAAAGCAGAGTGAAAAATCTCAGATCGTTAAAAATACGGAGCCGCAAGGTAGCAGAAAGCCTGCTACAGAAGTTATGTCGGAGGACTTTCTTTTACCTTTCACGGACAGCTAGAGTTAAGCCTGTCGATAACACCACTGTTCTTTTTCTTGAAATGGCAGATACTTCCCAGGTTTGTGACTGTTTGTTCTATTTACTGGATATTAACTGATTTGCTTATGAGGTGTCAGTCTGACACTTTTTTAATCAAGATTGTTTGTTCCCGGAGATGTTTTTCTCATTTCGCTTTCAGACTCAGCCTTTCCCCCTTCTGTCGGGAGGAACTGTAACGCATTTTATTTATTTTCTCTCCCCCCCCCC